TCATTTCATGTATGAATAAGACAGTTCTTTTAGTTGTGGAGATGCGGAATACTTTGTTCCAGTCAGTAGTATATAAATTAATCATGCTAAATTTATACACTACGGAGTTGAGAGATCTACTTTCACGAAGTTTTCATGTTACGCGCTCAAAAGTTATTCTCTGGTCAGGAACTATTCATTTTCAAACTTTGAGCGAATTGTTGGATTTAAAAGCCTCATGCATCAAATGAATATTAGTTAATTTCTAATTTGTGCAACAATGCACTCTTTCGAAATTATGAATGGCTCCTAACAATACTGTAAATCTATATATTATGGGTTTACTAAACGCCCTCTTTTAATGAAATACTGCATTTATAGATCCATATTCAAGAGTACAATGTACATATCAGATCCCTTTATCCAACTTAATTATTTGTTCAGATATTTTCTGAGTACATGTATACAAATAAGTATTATGAGTATATGTATTCATCCATAATATATTTTTTTCCTGCATTATTACTGTTTTTGTTTATTTTTTCATAATTTAACTAACAATTTAAGGATTTCAATTCCAGGTCAAGAGTTAATGTAAGCAACTGGCGTGTAAGAAAACTAAGGTCGAAATGCGTTGGTGGTTTCCTTTACAATTATTATTTTTAGAATCTAATAGACTCGATGTCAATTTATTCAGGCATCTCACATAAATTACTGTGTAAGCGACTCATATTGATAGGCAGGCTGTCTGGTGGACTTGTTCCGGGTTTTCTCCCTTACATTACTAAAATTAAGGAAGTTTCCTCTACAAGTCTCCCTTCATCGATTCTTCAGGGTGTTCGTCACAAACATCAGACCCCCCGATGTTCATACAAAAACTATAAAATGCATATTTTTTAAAACAATTTATTGTTTATTATCTTTGCTATATAAAATCTAAAGTCTATATATTCTTATTGTAATGACATAAATTAAGATTATGATCTAGAAGAAAAATACAGCTTTATTTAATTTGTCAAATTTATAAACATCTCACTTATGATTTACCATTTCCTCCTAGACAACCTAAATGTGAATTTAAATGTACTAAAACTTTAAAAATGAAAACTAAACCAACTTTAAGTTTTAAGAATTAATATTTAGCCATATAATTATACGACTGTCTAGTTTAAAATACGTTTTTCATTTTTAATTGCAAAAGTTTAAAACTTATTCCATCTCTTTGCATAGCAATGATTTGCTTAAAGGAGACATAATAGCTTCATTTTACTTCTTAAGTATTTTTAAAGGTTTAAGTTTGTGAAAATCATTGTTGAACTTAATTAAAATGAGAATTATAATTTTTTTTAACTCCCTAAGAATGCTCATAATATTCTTAACAGAAACTTCTAACTTTCACGAAACTAGCTTTATGGCAATTTAAGAATTTCCGTGCTTTTAAATTTTGTGATTAGAATTAATGGCCATGATTTTAAGGCGACTGGTTTAGGCATTTCTGTTTTTTTATTCGGTTATAACTTTTCTCAAAAATGATTATGCCATTTCACAGTTTGAATAATTTTTACATAATTTGGTCATGTGCATTCTGTATTTTGATGTCTTTTATAGATATTTAGTGAGGGGAAGAAACTTAATTATTTATGATTCAAATAATAAATATTTCCTTTGTTTGTTTGTATGCTTATAAATACAGATTTATTCTAAAATATTAATGTTATTTAATGTAAGCTGTTATTTTTTCATTTTCTAATGACTTTACAGTTTGAGCAGTCAAAAGCTACCAATCACAACAGTTTAATAGGAGAGAATGATAATTTCGTAGAGGCTTTAAATACAATAAAAATCATTTTAATTGTTTATAAATAAATTTTTAAATTATAGAATATTCAAAGAAAAATTAGAGGGAAAAAATCAAAACAGTTATCATCTTTTTTTTTTTTTTCAAAACTGTTTTCCGCCATACATGTCTGACTAGCACCCCTAACAAGTAATAGATTCGTTCGTTTCAGCAGTTTTACAAGCGAAAACGGAATATTTGGCTTTTACTGAATAGTTAATAGAACAATACAGAATTAAAGGCAAAAGCTGCCTCATTGGAGTGTGAAAATACGTTTACTCGACAAGTAAAAGCTAACAAACCTGATGCTTATATTTTTGTAATTCTTATGCGGCAAGACCACAAGAAAAAACCAACAAGAACTCTCTTTCAATATAGGAACAGGTATGGTGCACAGTTCAATAATTGGATAACTCATTCTGCCACGTCGCTGGTAGATGGCTGGTAGGTCATCTCCGTTGACCAGAGTTACTGGCCGATATCATCGATATTAGTTGAAGAAGACTACAGACAATTTAGAGCTCCTGCACAATGCAGCATTCTATTTCTTGGTCATTGCCGTCCCAAAACTTGCCACTTTTAAGTTTAGTTTTATGAGGGCTCAGTAAGAGTACCATGTTTGACACAGTCATTAATTCTAAGCTATATAACAGGAAGTACCTTGGTCATTCTTAAGAAAACCAGTTGCTTGGTTGAGATGGACCCGTTTCTTGGCCTTTGCTATCACCAAACTTGTTATTTTTTTATACAGTTTCAGGAGGACTCAGTAAGAGCACTATATTTGACATATTTATTTATTCCGAGCCTATAGTAGGAACTATCTCATTTCTATTTAAGAAAAATTGAAAAAGAATTAGTTGAAGAGAGCTGTTTCACCTGTCACATAAAGAGCACTATGTAAGACTCACTAATACTGATATTGATACTGAGCAATAATCTCATTGGTAGACTATTAATTGTGTCAGATAACATTTGGTATATGCGAACAAATTGTGAAAATGTATAAAAGTCTATTACACTGACGATGTAATGAAGACCAATTTAAATTCAGTATTCGCTTTAAAAAAAAAGGATTCATTAAAATTTTAATTTAACTCTTTAAATTTATTATTCACACAATTTTTCTAGTTACCAGGAATTAAATAATAAGTTTACGGATTCCTATTGTGAAGTAATGAAACCTTATTTTGGTTTTAAAATTTAGAAATATATTTTCCCACGCCTCTGTATATAACAGATAACCAGGTCTATAGGTCACTTAAGACAAAGATTGTGTAATTCAGCCAAAAGTTTCCTCAGTACAAAACTTTAAATTATATATTTACTTTTTTAGCTGTTATGTTGGACAGCAAAATTTCAAATAGAGATATTTATTATTTGTGATAATGGAAATAATTTATGTTCAATACATAATAAGAATTATTATTTTGATACGATTATATTCCTAATTTATTCGCTAATTATAACATTCAAGACTACCCAACTGGTTTATGAGTAGCCTGTTGCACTACACGTACAAGGAGGAAAGAATATAGCTGTACGCATTTCACGGAGATCTTATTAAGACACATATTTGTGTTTCAGAGGAATGAAGCTAAATATGTGCAACCAGTCCATCACCAACTAAACATATTTAAAAAGCAAGCATTAATTAAAATTTTTAATGATCCTAAATAAACTGATAGATTCAAACTTGAAATATCCGACACTGACATATCCGAGTTTTACCTAATTCCTCTTGAGATTTAATAGATCACGCTGAATGAAATCGCTTTAATAAATGTGCAGAAATATATTTTACGCATATTAATGAATGTCGTTTTTTATCAACTATGTTAATAGCTACATGTTCTTAACACAACAACGAATGGTATGTCTCAATAAATCCATAATAGGCTATCTAAATATGATTAAATAAAAACCATATCTAACCAGACAGTGTTACTTTTAAGCCAACTTTAGGTTACGTTTACATCACCAGATACTAGAATTAGGTTAAGGAAGTAATGCCCCATTGATAAGACTTTGGAAAGAGTTCAGTCACTTATATCCCCTTTTTTAAATATTGTTTAATTAAGTCATCTACTCAAATATCATAATAAAAAATAGGAATGTGATTCCAAATACTTTTAAACGTGTTTGAAATTCCCTTCATTATTGAACGTAGCTGAACTTTACATCACTTTCGAACATAACAGCACTTCTTTTTTGATCATGAATGTATTTCACTTCACTTTTGAACGTAATTGCACTTCACTTCACTTTTGAACAAATTTGAATTTTACTTCAAGTTGGAGCGTGACTGTACTTCACACTATTTTTTGACATGATTACACAATATTTTTTAGCATAATTGAACATCTTATTTTGACTTGAATGTACTTCAATTTTTCATTTGGGGTAAGTGTACTTTCAGAAACTTCATTAACTTTCAGATCATTGGATTAATATAGATAAAAAAATGATAAAAAATATTAAACAAATTTCTGTGCACACAACATTTTTTTCGGGAAGAAAAAATAAATTTGTGAAGTGTCAGATTACAAATGGTAGCTAATCGATAACCAATTTCAGGAGTCTCAAAAATAATATCTTCTTTGAAAATGGTCAAATGCTGAACTGACCCTTCTGCACAGTATTCTGGCAACGAATACAGAAAATTTTACTGTGTTTTATTAACGTGCTGTATATATTATGAAGTGAGATAATTTAATAAAAATTATTCAAATAATTTAATTTAATTTAATTTTATATCTTTGAATGGTATAATAATTTGCAATATCTTTCTCTCAATTAGTTGAATACTTCTCAAGAAACATATTATCAAAAATATATAGGGAAGGAAGTAGATATCAACAGTATTATTATGACAAAAGAATTGTACCATCTGTTGTTGTTGTTTTTGTTGTTGTTTCTTATCCCACTTGGCTGGCCAAGCCCACGAGCCCATATGGACTCATGATTGAAGGGGAAGGAAGCAGCTTCTGTTGTGATGGAGCACCCGTAGGTAGAAGCCTGACTTTTGCTCCGTGACGCTCTTACAGTCATAGAAGACCGGGACCTACGGCTTAAAGTGGATTCCGAACCACTACAAACATCCATGGCACCGCCGGGATTCGAACCCGAAACCTGTGGCACCGAGCGCCAGAGCGCTAGACACTCGGCCATTCAGGTCCCAAATTTTTGGTCACCCACCCAAGTACTGACCGCGCCCAATGATGCTTAACTTCGGTGATCTAACGAGAACCGGTATATTCAGCATGGTACGGCCGTTGTACCATCTTATAGGTATATACAGAAACGCCATTCATAGGAAAACTCAGCATCTGAGAAGAAGGCAAGTGGTATCATTTTCAGCTCGTTGAACAAAAATAGTATTTTTTGCATATATCTTGAAAATATATTTATTGAATTTTTGCTTCAAGTAAACGATTATTATTGTACTTGCATTTCGGGATTGAATAAATAGGATAGAATAAATTAATTTAATTTAAAATATCGAAGAAACAGTCGTAAATGTAAAAATTAGAAATATTAAGATTTTAATATTTCTACCACTAAATCAATAAATATTCTTAATATTTTTAAGTACAATTTGATGATTAGTGAAAATAATGTAATCCATAAATACGTTATGATATTATAAACTCATGATGGATTTTTTCGTTCCTTTTTCAATTTCGCAAATATTTAATTCAAACGCCAATTAATATTTTTTTAAAAATAAATAATCATTTTTATCTTTTAGAAGAGTTTACTTAAAAAACATACACATAAAAATATCTAAAATATTTGTTGAAATTGTTTTGTTGGAATCCTCCATTGAATCCATAATTTCCCGTGTAATATGACTGTAGAGCGTTGGGCGTAGGACTGACAACCCTTTCCCGTATAAAGAAAACGACGCATGTTTCGGAATCTGCCTGTAGGTAGATGGACTTGGCCCACTGGGAACTGTTGCGCCATTAAAGAAGAAGAACATTTAAATTTAATTCTGATATAGAGACACGTTAAGTTTAAAAAAAGAAGGAATCCGAAAGCTTATGTTTTGAATGATCATTTCAGGTTATAGTTTTCTTTATGCTTAATCTCCTCATGAGAACAGAATCCGTAAATCAGAATTTTTATCCGCTACTGACAGAATTCGTTGATTACATTATTAAAAGTATGTACCCTTGATAAAGAGCAGCAATCTAAAATTTGTTCTGTCAGGAAGAAACAAAGAGAATAATTATTAAAGTCCATAAAGTAAATTCTTATTATGAAAGTCCATTAAGAGTTATTGGTCCGTGAATAGAAAACCGTGTATAAAGTTATCACAAATAGAAAGTAACTAGATATAAATTTTCATGGCATAAAAATCATCGATGTTGAAAAACAATAAAAAAAATCTGCAGATAAGTTACTGGTGCAGAAAATCAATGTCTAGACAAGTGCACGTGTTGAATATGAAAACAAATTTAGTAAAAATATCAAGGAAAAATTGAATATGCGTATATTGAATTTAATTTCCCCTAGAATTGTTGCTAAACTAATAAATAATATCTAGATTTATACAGATACGCGGATGTAAAATTATCACTTAGAAATTTTAAATTTCAATAGTTTTTTTTAATTTTAAATTAAAATGATTTAATTGCAAATTATTAGTTATTTTTTTTACATTACGTATTTTATGGGTTTGCCAAAAAGGGCATGTTCATTTTAAATTTGAGTTCAACAAAGTAGCATTGACTGTTGGTAGACCATGCATTAAAATGCTCGTGTCTATTTAAATCTCCAAATAATTTATGAATAAATATTTTCAGGTTTAATTATTAAAATAATCGACGAATAAAAACTTTTTTACTATTGGATCATTTGCGAGTGATTATTAAAAAAAAAATGAATTCTGCAAACTACGCATAAAATTCAATCTTTATTTTCATTATTATATTATTTTTTGTATAGTTAACAAAAAGGCTGGATAATCGTGCTTGTTCTTTTACACCCCCTTTCTGGCTTTTGAGTAAAGAATTATGCATAAAAATGATATTACAAATTTAAGATTGCGGAAACGGGAAAAGAAAACATGCATTTAAGAATTGTGGTTTTGTTTTCTTAAAAATAAATTAAATCTGATATATTATTATTATCTGCTAATAATCCAAACTCTCCACAATTAATATCCAAATTAATTCAAAATTAATATCAACCATTAAATTTTTGCCAACTATATTTACCAATAGGAGCTGCGTTAATAAACTCTGCGATTATTCCATTAATTGGGAATGCTAATAATAGACTAATAATGAACGACTATCTTTTAACAAATTAAATTATTAATTGTGCTTTGTGTTCTGTAATGACCTATAAAATCTCTTCATGAATGCAACACCATAACATTATATATTACCCGAAAGATATGTTTAAACTCCAGAATCTTATGAGATAAGTGATAACTATATGTGCATAAACTTAAGAAACATACCCAAAAATGAAAACTTATTTACATATAAAATTCAAGATTTTACAAATAGTATAAGTTGCAAAAATTAAATGAATAATATTAAGTAATAAAAGTACCCCCCTGGGATTAAAACAATTAATTCAAATATCAAATAATCAAGTTAAATATTAATTGCCCTTCTGGATCAAGCAAATGCATTTTACTATCAATTAATTATCAGTATACTTGATACAATTTATTAAGCAGTTCTATCGCTGTAATAACAATCTCTAAATTTCAAGTTAATTTTTTACACTATAAATAAATTATAGTAAATATTTAAAAATTGATCCATTTTAATATTTTTTGTCTACTTTTTCATTATGAAAGTGATTTTTTTTAATTTACAGCTTTTCGCACTTACGACAGTTCGTTTTATTGGTTAGACAATCCATGATTGCCATTCAAACACAGTGCTCAGGCTTTCAACAAGGGAATGATTTCTTTGTTGTAAATACTCTTCAGAGGATCAGAGTTTGAGACTGGATGGCCCGGACACAATCTTTTCTGATACTTGAAATGCTGATACCAAGATGTCGAAGATCTCCGGTTATCACACTTTGGCTTATACCTGCCCTTTCTTTCTACACATTTAGAACATCTTATTCACTCGCTTCTCCCCTCTCGATCACTTCTTCCTCTGTCACGCCTGTCCACATTCATCTCCAGTCTCAGAATCTATGACTTCATTTTTTATACCCCATTATACACCTGATTGGCCAAATTCTGCAAATAGGGTATCGTCTAAAGACAGCTATTGGTTTGAGGGAAAATTTTTGTTGTTGGTCGCTTTCTTTCTGACCCTTATGTTGGCCGAGTGGCTAGAGCTCTGGCGCTCGTTACCACAGGTTTCGGGTTCAAATTCCTGTTGTGCAATGGATGTTTGTAGTGATTCGGAATTCACTTTAAGCCGTAGGTCCCAGTCTCTTATGACCGTAGAGCTTCACAGAGCCCAATCAGACTTCTCTCACCCACATCAATCCCAAACTGTAAAGGGGCAACTCAGCCCTGGGCACAGTGATGTGCTGTGGTGTAGTAGTAGTGACCCTCATGTTGAAAAACTCCAGACCGTTCAAACTATTCCTTCTGTAAAGATCCACTTTAGATCAATTAAGTTATTCATTACGTCTGATATTTACTACTTATTAAAACAGCAGTCATTGTTACACGCTTTCTTATCCACAAAGAGGAATTGAAAAAGAGAACTCTAAATTAGATAATAAATTCCTTGAAAACCCCATTTTGAAATGAGCCTTTATATCCTTCTGATGCAGATTCTACCCAGTGACAAGTATCTAACGGATTTTTTTTTAAATTTTAATTAAATAGGCTGAGTTACAAATTAAAATTATAACCACACACCCTCTTACACACTGGAAAGAACGCCCCTTGTGGTATTCAAGAGAAATGGTGAGTCAGCGTCCAGACTCTCACCCGAGTGAAAGTAGAGCGCATCTCTGAGCTCTCGCTGAGAAACGCTAAGTTAGTCTACAGTCTCTCACTTTGAGAGCAAATATATTTAGAGCAACCCTTCCCTGCTTTGCGCAACCTGCGTTTAGCCCTGTTTGAGGGTGTTTTCCACTCGAAGTGTAGTCCTTTCACGAAACTATAATTATCCATATTTTATTTCAAATATTGTTAATATTATTTGTGTGTAGTAGGATGAGTGTGATGTTTGTGCGTGTGTAAAAAAAAAAAAAAAAAAAACTTCGACTTCTCAAAAGTATCTCAATCCAACAACACTCAATTGCAATTTAGCATCCAACGTATGGCTCGTCTTAACCAGTAAACTACAATCTGGCTGCCTAACGTGATACCAGTATCCGGCTACAACTCAGATAAGTAAATGTTTAACTGGATTTAATGTGATTAGAGTTTTATGAAACGTTTTGTTTATGTAGAAAAAGTGCGTAGTTACAATCTGTCATATTGAGGACTCATAACTATAAAAGATGAAAGAACCTTGAACCGTTTTCCATTGAATGTTATGTTTCTACCATTGGTTATTTTTTTTTTAATTATTTTTCCACTTGAATATTTGACTTCTTGCCAGCAACACTGAGTCTCCTTTGAAAGTGGTAATTGGGTTTTGTATGTTTAAGGATGTTATAATGATTAATTAGTAGAATGAATAGAAAATATTATAGATTTTTTCTGGTTATACTTTTTCTGAAAAAATCAAATATTTATATTTACATATCGTTTCGATAATAAAAAAAAAAAATATCATTCTGTATGGTTATTATGAAAATATTTTATCGCTTCAGAGTGAAAACAATCACCTCTATGATTAAACTAATAAATATAGAATAGTAAATTAAAGTAATAGTAAAGTAATTATTTCGGAGTATTGGTAATAAATTATTATTTATTTATTTCATCTTTGATGCTACCGACCAAAACGACAGTAGACCTCCTTTGTCCCGGGTCCCCAGTCAGAGTTACCGGAATCCCATCTAGGTAGACATATCCCTTCTTTCGAGCTATGGCTGTGCTCGCACGACGCTTGGTGTAATAAATGCAAAATGTCGTAAATGTAATCCAACAGTTCAAGTTGACGTTGCTCACCAGCTAAACTTTAACCATAACAATTTTTATTGTATTTTAACAGAAGGTCATCCAACAAGCATAGTTAAAGTTACGATTTATGCCTCAAGAGCAGCAGTGTGTGTCTACACTTTATCTACACATTCGGTTGCTGGTAGAAAACTTTATGATTTTCTCAAGAAGAATGGACACATATTCAATAATGGTACTGCGGAACTTGGCGTTGCCTGACGGGCAT